TACGAAACTAATAAAGCTCCAGCTCGGGCCTCCGCGTAAAAGGAACCCCTTTTTTAGATCATTATTAAAGAAATAGATTGGACCATATAAGCAACTCCCTAGTTTTATTTTTAAAAATGCAATGAATAAAAAATGAAACCCATACGCGTTCCTGTACAGAAAAATATTTGGTATTTACAAGTATGGAGTGCAATAATCCCAAAGTGGTATTAAAATGCCAAATATACTGGACGTTTCTTTTCCCCGCGCGTGGTCTCACTTTTCTGTTAACGAGTGCAGCAACCAAGGGCGGCAAGACAAGTTCCATGCACTTTCGTTATCGTTCTTTGCTCGAACACATCGCGAGAATCGAGAACCAAACAAATCGTCGCTGGACGACGAGATTGAATAATGCCACCGTTTGCCAAACAATTGTAAACGCCGTTTAACAAAAGTCGAACGCGTCGTTAAAGGGGCATGTAGTACCTGTGCAAAGTTGCTGAGCGGCCAAACAATTATTCGTTAAACGTGCTTGGGTGGTCAACGAGATTGTTAGTCCTCCGGTCTGAAAGGCTGCCGCGCGGATCTCCGCGAAAATTGCGCCCTTGAAGACGAAACGAAACGTTCCCGGGTAATCTCTCGCGGTAAACTCGAAGAACATCCGTACGTGACTTCCGCCCGGGAAACTAAATAATTGCTTGTACACGGGGCAACGGGAATTACGGAGACGAAATTAATTACCGCGTTACCCTTGATATCTGGTGGCTCGTGTCTGTCTCTATTCACCGCGCGCTCATTCGCGTAGGGCGTGGTTCAACACGGAGTGGAAGATAAACGACGCGCAATTATATTTTCAAACTTTCCAGAAACTATCGTGAAAATCTCCGTGGGAGGGGGGGGGGCAGTAAATGCCGGAGTAAATTAACTGCTTAGTAGAATCAGAGCGGGCACTGTGTCTTTGGAGGCCGCATAATTCAAACAATTATCAAGACTTTGATGGCACTATTTTTATAACAGAATGTAACACCCTCGAATAGACAAGAGAAATTTTAACCTTCTCGAATCTACAAATCTGAAGCAATATAAATATTCTGGAAAAAATATAGATCATCTCGTACGAAAGATGAGAATACATCTTTAAACGAGTTCAGGGATAGTGTAGTAAAAACAGACCGATTCCTCGCGGAGGTTGGTTGTGCAAGAATCGCGAGCCAGGGCGATTTCACGGATCCTAAAGGGGCGCATTCGGTTCGATCGGATGGCGACGCGAGGGTGTGTAACAAGTCCGAGAAACGCGGGGGAAACGTCGGTAAGGGTGCGCGGTCGGTCCGAACCTGCTCGTTCACACGATCGACGCCCTGTAATTTTCGATCCTGACGAGATAGCGACGCAGCGGAGACGACGCGTACCAACAACGCTCTCGTCGCTCCTACGAACAACGACTGCGCGTTGGTGGTAGATTTTACGTGGCTAGAAACTTTATGAGCGCATAGAATCCTCGGTTGCAGAGGGAGAGAACGAGAGTGCAGCGGGCATGCGCATCCTGAAACCGAAAGTGCACGCCCATCCGGGCACCGCCGCCCCTGAACCTAGACCTACACCCCCGCTTTCCAGCACCTCACGGTCAACCCGGTGCCCCCAACCTTCAAAACCCCCGGCCGCCGAACCAACACCCTCCACCCGCTCTACCCGCTCCACCCTACCGCCGTCGACGCCGCTCGCGCACCAAAATGCACCCCGGGACTTTGAATCTCTGCTCGCGCCACCCTTTCGAACGCGTCGACCTTCCACCAGAGAATCAATTCGAATCTTGGGTTACATTCTATTCTCCTTTTCGGCTACGGGGAAAACAGACGAGGGTGTGGGGTGACTTTAAACTGTGTACTTACGAGACTACCATCGCCAATCGTCGGACCACACCTTACACAATACCCACCCCTTTTGTTTGTGCCTATATTGGACGCGTAACAATTTCTGAGACATTATACGCAGGTTGTAATAAACAGAAGTAATACTTTGAGCGCTTAGGGTTAATGAAAAGCAGGTACTGCACTATTCCGTTTCCCGTTTCTACCCTCATTTTAAAACCAATAAGGACGAACATCTTTCGGAGAAGAAGGAGGAAGCGACCGTAATTTATTTAATTTTTATGTGACTGCACTATGCGTATAAAGTAAATACGAGAAACTAAAGTGTACAAAGCGACGAGGTGCAGCCGAGGTGCTGTTTCTAGGTCTAACCTCAACTTGTAACGTAGAAATGCGACAGAGAAAGGCAAATAATGGCTTCATTGTCAGCGAAATGATTGATGACGGTTGTACCACATTGCTTCAAGTCGGTTCGTGTGACCGAGAAAAGCTGAGGCCAGAAGCGATACCGTGAGAGAGATAGTAAAATGTGGCGTCGTTCATCAGCGGATAAGCGATCGACCAAAATATTTAGCGTGGAGTTTAGTATTCCAGATTGTAATCTACGGGAATTAAAAGAAATAATGGATGTTTTAAGAATGCAGGTTTCTACAAGGTGACTTTGTCACGGATATTTGAATTCCTCGGGAGCAACATGTTATTCAAAATACGTGAATACAGCGAGATAATGCCGTTCGATAAAACTCGTCGAATACAACATATATCACACCAATTTATGCGTATTGTACCGAATAACAAAAAATTGTACTGTTTCTGGAGTCCCATAAACTAGTAGGAAAAATATTTCATACTTCAGAAACATTGCAACATTTGTTTGCAACTGTGAACAAACTGTGTGACTCGAGTACAGGGTGTGGTTTCTCCTCCGAAGTAAAAAAAAACTCGACCGAAATACGACACAGATCTAAGGTTGCATAAAACGAACATTTGTGCAAGGTTTCCCATATCAGTCACGGGAGAAAGGGTCTCTAAAAGATTATTAATTCGCGTTGCTCGTTGCCCCGATGATGAAGGGTCGGCAGATATAATATGTTACGTGTTCCGGTCTATTTTTCGAACGGAAAAAATTTTTCTTCCGTCCAATTGTCTCTACCGTGACGGGATCGTCGTTTTGCCTGCTCCAGCACCCTCGAATTTTTTAATCGCGCGCCCCAGCACGTTTCTTAACGCGCGAACCAAACTGGATGGGCCGTGTCCCTTTCAGTGACATCTGGTTCTCCCCCGTGTGCACGGAACCCCAAGCCCGGGGCGAGCCCTATAAGAGCTAAAGCTTCATTCACGGTTACCGTCCTAGAAACCCGAAACGATCAAAACAACTTATTCATGCGGGGCCCTCTCGAGGACGCCGGATTATCCTTTTTCGGATGCCTCGACGTCCTGTTACCCCCGGGGTGGCGATTCTCCCCCCTGGGTTTCGCGCTAGCCTTGGCAAAATGCAGCCACCGACTGACCTGGTTTCTCCGTTGCGCCCATAGATCTTAGCGCCGATACAATATTTACACGGTTCCATAGAAACAGACCGGGGAATCATTGTTACCGCGAATCGAATTCGTCACCGATCGTCGACGAACGCTGGAGTACGAGCCGCGATGCTACCGTACGATCTCCCGACCTTTTATTTATCACCGTGTCCGGATGTTCGTCACGTGAGAATCGTAAAATGGCGGCTCGGGCTTTCTTCGCGACGTCGTGGAATGTTTAAACAAAAACGAAGGAGAGAAGCGCCGGGAATCTTACCGTGACTCGAGCTACCACGTTCGTACTTAGAGAACATACAAAACGGACTTTCACGATCCAACGACTGTACAATCTTTTCCTAGTTAAAGCATGTAATGGATCATATGGCGAACTTGTAGAAATAATAATGCTCATTAGTTTACTGTTAGACATATTGATAGTATAACTACTTTTAAAAGTGCTGCTACTGCGATATCTGTATCTTGCCCTACTGTACTCTATCTCCAATTCAATCTTTATAGGAGCTAACTCTAATTTTAGTTATATGTACTACACACTGTTGCATCCCTTTACACTACAAATAGTCGTTGCTTTCACTATCTGTTAGTTCTTTTCTCCTTTATTTATACTCTGTTGTGATTACGCATGACTATTGTATTATGACCTTTTATGCGTCGCATGTATCTATTATATGTAAAGATTTTATTACTGTCATGATTATTATTGCTACATAAATACGAGACTGGGCATAAATATGAGATACGTTTTTCTGGTTTGGGACGACAGAATATTTCAGGGACGGTTTTGTCCCATCGAGGGAGAGAGAGAGGTTGGTATAAAACAACCCGTATCGCATAAACGGTGGCGTAAAGCTGGAATCAAGGATGGCTTGGCGTTATTTTGATCAACATGGGTTATTTATGGCTCGCAACGTTAGAGAATTGGGAGTCTCACGTTTCGCAACAGCTTTACGATCGCCGATAAAATTATGCAACGTAATCTAATACGTATCTCGTTTCGCCGGTGTCCCAGGAGCCGGCTTCGCCGCGTGGTTTTCGCTCGCACGAGCACACGCGAGCCGACAGCAGGGCAAAATCGACTCTTTGTTATGCGTTCCCGATAGCGGTGGCTCCGCTGTGTTCGTCGATGCCCGTGGGAATCGTTCGAAAATTGCGCCAAATTAATCCTAGACCGATTTCATCGACGTCGATCGTGATCAAGTATCCACGACGCCGCGACACGTTCATTAATATTTAATACAGCAATACTGGGAACCTTTGCCCGCGCGTGGATCTTTTGCGAGCAGATCTGCGTGGGCGTCGACAATCGCGAGCTACATTGTAAACACGTGCGTCGAGCGATAAAAATTCACGGACGTTTTTCTTCCCGAGACCAGCACGCTTTATGCAGGACAGAGCAGCGATAAGAGAACGAACGGAAATTTCGGTAACCGCAAAATAACCGGGTGTGATGATTTTAAATATTCCATCTTTGCAATCCATAAAATAAATCACGAGTACTAAACTCAATGGCATTGGATATTAGTCGAAACAAATCATTTATTATTAAAATCGTACTATTGAACTCAATGATATACAAATTAGGAGATCAAAATAGTCTCTGATACGACTTGCATCACTTTCGTAATCATTGGCACGAATGACTTATTACAAGTGTATCTTGAACGAAATTTGGCTAGCGTAATCTTGAATGCTACTTTTCACAAGTACAAAAACATCGTGAAATCATCGACCACAACTTCCGTACCTAATTGCTCTTAATTCTTAACTGCAAGCGTTCAAGAGAGACCGTATGTATTTCGTGTAGTTTGTTTTCGTGCCGGTGATTCTTTTTTTTTTATTTCGCATACCACCGGACGAAATCACTGCCATTAATGACCTTCGCCAAAGATAAGCCGGACCGTTCGATAAGAGACAACGCAACGGTTGCCCGTTAATATATATCTGCACGTTGTTTGTGCAATTCGCTTGTCAAGAATTTCGATAAACCGGCCTACGAGGGGGGGAACAGCGCAACAAAACGAGAACACAGAGCCGATACGCGTACGCACACCACCGATTTATTTATTAATAAACGCGTTCGCGATATTTTCAAATTGCGTGATGCGAGGTAAACATAATCCTGTTTTCGCGCGTGTCGAGGAGTTCGTGCCACGGGCTCGTTCGTTATGAGACACGAGGCGATTTCTGTACGACACGCGGAAAAATCGCGCGAGCCTCCGAAAATGTTTGCGAGAAAAATAATACGCTTACGTACTCGCGTCATTGGAGCTCGCCGTGGTCCAGAATAGCGCCTTCGATTCCAAATACATCTCGTCAAGTGGCTCGACGTTTCTTAAGCGCTCGGGATGACCGAGGAACGAAGCTGGAAATAAAAACAAAAATAAAACGTTGCAAAATCTCGTGACCGCAACCTTGGTTAAATTTAGAGATCGCTGATCTAACCTCTATACCACTATCGGCAACGATGCTCGGTTTACCATGAATCTTTCACATCGACTCGATACACTTGCATTTCATTCTTCGTATTTTCCATCGAATCTGGAAAATACATAACCTCTCAATAATTTCGTTGCGACAGTCACAGCGATTAAATATACGGGACGTGTTTTTAATTCCATCTTCACTGACACTAAATGGGGACAATGTTTGCTCGCTGTAATCAACGCGGCCCTGAAAGTTGTATCGAACATAGAATTAAGGCGTGAACGCGGTGAAAAAATTCACGCGATGAAAATATACTGTACGGTGTCGAGCTTGCGACGCAAAAAGAACCGCATCCGTCCTCTCTAGCATTTCAACGTAATATACCCAAGGGCCAGAGGCGTAAATATTTACACCTCGCGAGACACGTAGCTGTTTCGTACCAACGTTCCCTTGAAGCAAAAGTACACACACGACAGAAGCCACCATCGAGAAAGAGAGACTGTTGCGAATACGATACACACTGTCACTGAGGCAGGTTATTTACTGACCACCAGACCGCGCGATACATACGACACTTCAAAGCTGACTGATGTTCAATTTTTCGAACGAGGTGTTTCGTGCTTTTACTCGAGAAACGATGAAAAATAGGACACGACGTTCCCAGTAGTGCAAACATACGTTTGCGAAATAGTATGTTGGTATGCATGAAACGCCTTCTTGAAGTCTAAATTTGGCGGTATGAAAACAACCTCAATAATGCGTCATTGTCGCGTGTTACAAAACGCATTAAGGCAGGTTTCTTACATACCAACTGCAATCTTCGAAGATTTCATCCAAGCTTCGGACCCAGGAACGACTGAACGAAATTGAACTCGAATCAGGTACAATTCCTAATTAGAAATACATACGTAGCTTTGGGCACGTACACCGTATCTGCTCTCGGAAGACAAACGATCAAAATAAACGACAGAAACTTCGTGAAAAAGTTCAAAACTCGCGATATCTTTCTCGCCTCGACGTTCGAAAGTTTTTCATACTAGACGACAAAACCAAACGACATTCGTGTATACCAGTAGTTCTTAACCTCACTTTTTCAACGGAAACATTTTCAGAACGGCGTTTTAAAACATTACTCAAATCAGTGTCCTGCTAAATTTCTGCTAAATAATGTCTAATAGATCGGGTCACGGGTTACAAACCACTCGTGTATACGTTCGAAGATACGAAATATCGATTCACAAAAGAACTGTAAATTCAACCGAGCTAATTCGTTTCTAGTGTTTTCTATCGACTAAGTATGTAGTTCGGCCCGCTTACCTTCGTCGCAATATCTAACATCGTCGGAGGAAAATTTTCAATTCGGCGTGCATTATCTCGTTACGATTACTGCGTCAGTAGAGAGATGATTTGAAACGTCGTGGTTGTGGCTATGGTACCTCGTACGTGCGTATACGTGCTCGACACACGCGTCTCGAGAATTATTCGCAAGCCTCCTCGCCGGCTTCGAAAAGTAAAACGCGCGCTCGTGTATGCAGCGCCGGCGGCAGCGAGAGGAAGAAGGACGGTCGCGTTATTGGAAACGGGATAGAAACATAGAGCGGTAGCGTGCGCCCGTCGGAGGGACGACAACGGCGCGCATCGATTGGCGCGCTAGCCGTGACCCCCACCACGGTGCTTTCGCTTTCACCCAATGGGGCCTCACTTTCGCGCTCGCCCGCGCACCGAGCCACGGCAGCCGGCACGCTGTCGTCGCCGGCGCTCAGTGACTGGTGCACCCTACGTGCGAGCAAGTGTTTTTCGTCGTGGACTCTGTGCACAAGAGGAAAAAGAAAAGGGGGAAGGAAACCGAACCGGAGCCTCGGTGTGTTGTTTGTTGCACACGTATCGCTTGAATTATCGTCTCTGTCTCGTTGAGCTGTGCACGAGCGAACCGAGAACGACTTTCGACAATCAGGAAATTGCGTTCTACGGTGCGCGCGCTTCGCGCCCGGTGACCCTGACATTCGTGAGAAGCAACCCGACGACACACGTTCGTCGACAGATCCGTTCTTCCGTCTCGACGCTGCACGGCACCGTACGAGTACTCGTGACTCGTTCGCGATTGCAAACCGTTCCCGTGCGAGAACATCGATACTTCGCCGGACCACGCTGACCTTGACTTTGCTGCACGAAACATCAACACCACGATAACAGATTTTTCTCGAAACGGTTTTTCGATGCGTGTGGATCCTAAGGTTGTGTCGTGCGCGGAGTGACCTTGATTTACGTACGATTTTCATTAGAACGGGACAAAAGCTAAAACGTTGGATTTGGACATCTCGTCGCTGGACCTTTGATGTACCGCGCTTTTTTCTCGAAACACCCGACACAGCCGCGGCGTGTCACTATACTCGCGCGATTGTTTTCGAACGGAATCGGTCAGTGAATGGGTGTGCATGAGACGGGACAAGCAAGACGCGGGAATTGCGTGAAGATGAAGAAATAGAGTGTCTCACGAAACCGTTGTGCAACGAAGAATTTATTTCTATCGGTCGATCGACCGGACTGCGTTACTTACATCCCGGTTTCCCAGCCTGCCTTAGTTTGTCGTTTGAGGATTTCTCGCGAACGCATCGGAAGAAGAGAAACCAGAGGAAAAGAGGAACAAGCGTGGGGCGTCGTTCCATATTAAATCAGTCGAGTAATGGCACCACGGCGCCACGGGAACGGCCACGGTGGTGCATTGATGGAAAACGGAGGAGCCGGCGCCGGCATCAACGACACGATGGACAACAACCTGCTGATACAGACCCAAGCGACGTCGACCCGTTGCTGCACGCCTACCGGCGAGTGTCTCAGGGGCGACGCGTTGATTCGTCTGAACGCGTTGCACGATACGGTCAAGGTAACCTGCAACAACGACAATTGTCCGGTCGGGCAGTTCATGCATCGCGAGTGCTTCGACGCCTGGGAGCAAACGGTGCTCACGTATCTGAAGAGCTGCGGACGCGCCCGTAGCTGGTCCGAGCGGCAGCGCCATCAGAACCTCTGGACGAAAAAGGGTTATGATCTGGCCTTCAAAGCGTGCGGTTGCCGCTGCGGACGCGGACACCTGAAGAAAGATCTCGACTGGTTGCCGTCTGGAACCGGCGGGAACGCTTCCGGCAACCGACAAGACGAGAACGAAGCTAAGAAAAAGAAACGACGCAATCGTCAAAACAGCAGACCCTCGCTGGCCGTGTCGGCCGGGCCACCGAGTCACGGTAATCACGTTTCGGCCAACGGTCGCGGCACTACCGAGTTGCAATTGATCGAATCCGGTCGCGGAAGGGCTGGTTCGCTATCCTCCAGCACCGGGTCCAGCTCGCCACCGGCTACCAGCGAGCCCAGCGTCAGCCCGCTTCATCAGCCCCAGGCCATCATGAAGAAGAAGAGCAAGGTCGATTTCTTCAGCGATCGAGCACGGTGAGTTTTGTTATTCTCTGTTTTTTTTCGCGCTTTAACACCGGATCGTTACCTTCTGTACAGTCTGGTCATACCGAATATCGTTAATCATTCATTTTTCAAAATATTTTTGTATACGTATAAAATAGATATAATTTACAGGTTATGTTTTATATTTATCATCTCATTAAACAACGCAAAGGAAGATACATGCATAGATAAATCTTAAGAAACTGTTGGGTGATTTTCTTATGAATTAACCCTTCACGACGTTACGTGTATGCGTAATTAATCTGAATCTCTGAATCTCGATCTTGAATTCTTAATTGTAACGCAATGTAATTCCCTGGCACACCTGAGTGCTTGCCGGAACGGGTGCAAGCTACTGCTATCTTCTGGAAGAACGATCGGCACCTGCATCAGGTCAACTCGATTACCACCTTTTACCCATGTTACAAATTAATTATCCAACTTTCGGTCTTTTTGCTAACGATTTTTAAATATATCTTTTTGGATTGAAATTTCGATCCAACGTTGCTTCATCTTTGAGTTTCTTTAAGACACTTACAACGAATGAAACGTAATATTTGTGAACATTTAATTAGCACTATTGTCATTAGAAATGTTTAAAAAATTCATCCCACCTTTTCAATTTGGTTTCCCAGAAAGAATGAATCATTTACTATCTATACGTACTATCTTTAATGAACTATTTTGTACTATTCACGTAAACTGTGAATTTGCTCCTCTACCATATTATTTATTAACGGCATAATTACTCTTCTGCCCATCGAGAAGGTACAAAAAATCCCCCTAAGCACTGGCGGCGCGATTCAGGATCATGGTATATAATTTTCCTACGCGTTAAACGCTACGAGAAATGGTAATTAATTCCACGGGACGATAGGTGTCGGGAGAAACGTTGGAAGTTTCGCGAGGCGGCCGCCCCCGCAATTACGCGTATTACGTGCGAGCGAGAGTTTCTGGATTCGTGGTATCGGATCGGGGAGGATAGGGAAAAAAGACGGCTGGCTCGTTACAAACAATAATTGGCCTGACGGTCACGATACCGATGGCTCTCTCCCTGTGAGGTCTACGTGTAAGAATACAATTATCGCGATCCTTTATCAAATTGGTCACGTTTCTCTCCCACGCGAACTCCTCTGACCTCGGTCGTCGCTTTCAATGACGTCGATAAGAGGCAGCGTTTCTTTCGAATCGCACTTACCCCGAAGATAAAGTTACCAGCCCCTCCAGGATATTAGTATCTCGCTGCACGGCGCGGCGTTCTCGTCTTAAATTCCGTTCTCAGGCTAGAATCTGCCGTGTCGGACACGCGGAGGTTGCGATCTCTTCATTTATCACGAAAGATGGCGACGGCGAGCAGTAACGAATTCGTTTCTATGCTGGATTCTGCGAACAGGAAGCTTTTTCCGGTAGAAAAATAGCAAGGAAAAGCGATCGATAAGAACTATGAACGAGAAAAGTCGTTCTCCTTAATCTATAACCGAATATAAATATTAAAGAGTCCTTCCTGTGAATTTTCTTTTCTGTACCGGTGTTACGTCACACAGGAAGAAGATAAAGTGCATAGGTATGAGGATATGAGAGATCGGGGGGATGGTCGAGGATTTTCGATATAGAGCTTTTGTCACGCCCTCGAAAGTATTGCGTTAAAGTTTAGCGCGGGGGGTGTGTTTGGCCAGGCGCTCAGAGGGTGTCGAGAGAATCAACGCGCATATTCCGCATGGAAAGCACACGCTTCCGTTCCTTGCTTTATAGCGCGATTTCGAAGCCCGTATAAAAAGCGACCGGGGGAGGGGACAGAGCGGGGGAATATTTTCATTTCTTCGACGGCAGAGTTGTGTTTCGCGTTTCGCGGCGTCCGCGTATAGGTCGCTATAAATAATCGCGCGGAGAGAGAGAGGGGTTTCGCGAAATGCTTTCGCCCGGATGGTGGCCAAACGATGGAAAAAGGCGAACTTTCATGACCGAACTGAAGAAATTCCGAGCGATATCTTTCCAAAAATAGAATTAACCCTGAAAACACCGAGCTCAAAAATCGTTGCGTCGAGGACTATGGTCGCCGGAGGGAGAAAAAAAGTAATACGCGTTGCGTGGATCGGCGGCAAACGTTTTCGGGCGCACGGGCGATCAAACACGTCGTGATATGCTCGAGAAAACACGCGACAGTCGGCTACGCAGAAGTTTACGGATGAATTGAACTCGGAAACTCGACACCGGGGCTCTCGATTCTTTCAAATGCCGCGCGCGCCCGGAACTCGAGATCTAAATCGCAGATACAGCCGGTGCCGCGCCGGCTTCCAGGCTCTTTTTTCCAGGACACTCCGATGCTCTCGGGTTTAAAGGGGAGAGAAAAAAACCGAAACTTTCGAGCTGGCGCGGCTTTGTGGCGCCCGTTATCCGAGAGTAGCTTCGCCGAGGAAAGTATTACGGTGCCCCACAAAATATTACGCGCTCGGTCGCTCTTCCTGGTTATTTTTAACTCTTCGTGGCCCGACCACCGAGCGTCGTACAGATCAATAAGTCGATCGCTCCTTAGAAAATGGAACATTTCTAGACCCCGATCGAACTTTATTTTTCTTCGGATCGAAATACGAGCGGCCGTCGATTTAATATAAAACTATTCGAGAGATATAGTATATCGTTCGTCTAGGGTCGTGTGCACGCGCGAAAAGCTATTTCGAAGCTCGAGTATCGATCGAACGAAATTGAGCGGCGACCCAATATATTGTTTTGGGAGGCGTAATGGTGGAATAAAGGGGTCGAGGAGGACGAGGAAAAGTCAATTGTCCCGGTCACATATCGCGGTAAAGGAACTCTCTAGACGCGCGTTCTGCAGGACATGAATGAACACGGGGGGTCCGTTTTCTTGGACGGGCGTAGGTCGTGTCGTAGTATAGGTGACGGGTGTGTACGACGTATAAGTTGTCTCTAGAGCTATACGGGTAGAGAGCAAGGAGAAGACGAAGGGCGACGAACACTACGATTACGACGCCGCCCCGACCATAGTACGCACACTCCGTATAATCCTATATTTAGATCCAGTCTTGGAACCTGTCCTATTTCTGTTTACTTTCCACCGGTTCCATGAGCAGCCCCTGCCCCGAAATCATTCCCCGCCGAACGCGCGCTAAGCGCGTAGACCAACTTACGTGATCTTTTATTTTCGGCCACGATCTTGTTGCTGGAGAATTCCTATCCCGTCGCCTCTCTTTCTTTCTTTAACCTCCGCGGTTACGAAACGCGACCTTAATAGTTCTTTGCATTACTTATTCCGTGATGTCATCGTTACGGACCGCTTATGCGAGCTCTGCGCAGCTATGGGTCCTCTCGAACACAAATCTCGACCGTTTTCGAATGCCGAACTCGTTCACCGATCCTCGACAGACGTTATTTTCAATGCTCGGGGAAGCGTGGGAGGTGCTCGCGTTAACACATTTTGATAGAAAAATAAAAATAATGTTACAAAACGTCTTCTCGTACGGAAGGTAGTTGCCAACGTAGCCTGCATCAGAGCTACAAAGAGAAATATAAGGGTGGGTAGCGTGTTTCGTTATGGTTCTTATATGGGTCGTGGACGGCGAACGGGTATGTCGGATCATCGACGACGTTAGATAAGATAACGCGGTGCTCTCTATACATTAATTGGTAGCAGATCTTACGATTACCCGTCGTTATGCATACTCTCGGCGAAGTTTCTGCGCCGGTTACGCGCGTTATCGATTTATCTTCCCACCTCGTCGTTCTCGCGGCAGTCTCTCAAGAATGCAAATTATTTGTTTTCGTTCGTCGGCGCACGATCTCGTTCCGCTCGGTGTCCGAGTTGATGGAAGACGGAAAATTCGTTCCTCGACGGTTTTCAGTTTCCGGTTTACCAACCCCCCCTCCACCGCGTTATATCGCGATTGACGAGAGAAAACTGCACAGCAGAAATGGCTCGTTTTCGTGATTTTTCTGTATATATTTGAAGGTTGCATCCTCTCGGTCCTGTTTAGGGACGCGTGGTTCACGTGCACCGAAACGCACACCGGACGAGTTTTAGGCGATCCTCTCCCTCCCGCGGCGGGGACAAGCGGTTTCGAGAGTGTGTGGGTTCGCGTTCGTCGGTCGGATAAAGCGGTTGATGACGATAGTGTGTGCACGGAGAGGAAGAGAGGCGAAGAAAGAAGGAGAAGAAAGAGAGAGGGTGCTCGTAGCCTTGACCGTGGCCAGCACTTCAGGGCCAACGGGCGAGGAGAGGAGCTTGACGCTCTAGCAGCCTCCAAGGCCAACTGCATGGAATCACGCCACCGCGATGCATTTAAACGGCCCGAACGCCGGGAATGTTGCTAAAAAGCCCACCACGGGCTTTCGTTCTTACCGAAAAGAACGACCACGGCCACCTTATTCGAGCCACGAAAGTATCCGTCTATCCGTGGTCGTCAAACTCATCCCCGGGACTCGTAGTCTCGTTAGTATTTACAGTTTGCAAGAAACCGAATCTCCGGCGAACGAACTGACCAAAAGACAATTTTCCAGGTCGGTGGTTCTCTTTCACAGAATTATTTTTCTAGGCTTGCATAGATAGAGTCAAAGTTAACGATTTCGTCGAAACGAGAAATCGAATCAACCCTCTCAACGAAAGTTGTGTGGAAATTATGGCGCGATAGCAATTATTCACCGACGATTTTCTGGAATACCGCGGTGGGTACATACCAACGCGCGCTTTTCGCGGCCCAAGGGTTAGAAATGGGTGGATATCGTCGTTCCAGAGGTTCTGGCGAGAGGTTTTCGCAATTTATTTCCGTCGAAAGGATCCTTCCTCAAACTCCGGGAGTGCTCTGTGCAAGATCTCTGCGAGTTACGGTCGGTCTTCTCGCTATATTTCGCGGACTAACAACGCACCGACGGGAAGGGCGAACCAGAGCACACGAGCTCGTAAAATTTCCACGAGCGTTTCCATTGTCCCGGGTGGTCTCCACCCATCGCGTCGTGACGCATTCCCTGGCGGCTCTTTC